ATTTAACATAAATACCCAAGTTAACATATTAAGTTTTACATTTTACATATACACTTACCTTTACCATTAAGTATGTACTTGGTCACAAAGTAATTTCCATTTTACATATACACTTCCATAAATTAAAAGGAATGAAGTTATTATAGTCTATATATGCAAATCGTTATCAAATCGTATATTTTCCTTTTCTTCCATTACATGCGTGCGATATATATAAATATATAAACTATGTTACATGCGTTATATGCGTCTCTAATTATTTTTCTCTAGCAAATTTCAATTGAACCTAAAGCTGCCACGTCAGTTTAATTGGTATGCTAATTGATTGACAACTAAGCAAGGTTACTTTTTAATTAATACAAACTTGAGGTTACATCTTTTCAAATGTTTCTCAATTAATATATAGGGGATATGTTATATCCAAACTATCTATTTTACCTAGAAATAACCAAAAAAAAAACTCGTTAGACACGGTTTTGTTTGGATATTTTTTATCAGAAATCATATTTTATCTAAAATACTCAAAATTCCAAAATAACTAATATATATATATATATATTAAAATAATTATAAATAATATTTTTAGATATATATTTACATTTCAGATATTTTCGGTTACTCATTCGATTCTCGGTTTGGGTTGGATTCAGAACCGGTTATCCAGATATAGCAATTTAGTATCCATTTGGTTATTTAACCCGGATCCAATCGGATTCAGAACCCTGATTTTCGGATCGGTTCTTCGAAGTCAGATATTTCGCCCAGTCCTAATTTTGTGGAACCGGTTCTTGCTTCTCTCTAAACATTGTTCTATGGTTTGTACCCTATAGTTAACGAGTTAGAGGATTCAAATTCACAAGACTCGTGATCCCAAACTGACCGGTTTATTTTAGAAGCTAACCGACCTACTGCGTTTTGCGTTCCCGCGCTATCGCCGCACCCGCACCCCGCGTTTTGTAATAAAAACTCCGGTTTGATTAGTCTTATTCCAATGTTTGGTTTATTCCGGTTCGATTTTAAAATTTTCTAGATCCGGTTCTTGCTTTTCTGTTACTGATTCAAAACAGAAAATCACAGAGATGAAGAATACAGACGAGAGAGAGAGAGAGATTTGTGGAGGACTTCCGTTTGAAAATTATCGTCGTTCTTCACAAATCTCAGAGACTACTAATAATCAATTTCTTTTGATAATTAAATTGCAAAAAAAGTGAAAGAAAGATGGGAAATTTATTCGTGAAGAAACCTCAGATCACGGAGGTTGATCGAGCCATTCTCTCTCTCAAAACCCAGAGACGCAAGCTCGGCCAATACCAGCAGCAGGTTTTTCAATTCGATCCCTAATCTTTAGTTCCTTTTCTATTTTGGAAACTATAGTTTTTGTTTCATCAGAATCACCCAAAGTCTTTAAGGAACAGTTAATTGGAATTTGGATAAGCCTTTATGGGTTTTGATTTTTAGTACTTCTAATGATAAAAAGACTCAAGCTTTATGAGTTCTTGGCTGATTTTATTATAACCCATTATCTTCTTAACTTTTGTAAAATTAGCTTTGAGAAAGTAATTGAGAAAAAAAGACTCAAGCTTTATGAGTTCTTGGCTGATTCCATTATAACCCATCTTCTTAACTTTTAACTTGAGAAAGTAATTGAGAAAAAGACTGAATCTTTATGAGTTCTTGGCTGATTCAGTTATAACCCATCTTCTTAACTTTTTGCTTGAGAAAGTAATTGAGAAAAAGACTGAAGCTTTATGAGTTCTTGGCTGATTCCATTATAACCCATCTTCTTAACTTTTAGCTTGAGAAAGTAATTGAAGCTGAGAAGCAAGCTGCTAGAGATTTGATCCGAGAGAATCGAAAGGAGAGAGCTTTGTTAGCTTTAAGGAAGAAACGGACGCAAGAAGAGTTGTTGAAGCAAGTTGATCAATGGGTCATCAATGTTGAACAGCAAGTAAAACTCTTTTTTTTTTTCAATCTCCTTGAGGCTTTTTTCTTGTGTCTTTGTTGATGTGACATAGCTCAAGCTTTTCATGTGTGACTTAGTTGGCGGATATTGAGCTTACGAGCAAGCAAAAGGCTGTGTTTGAGAGCTTGAAGCAAGGGAGCAGTGCTATTAAAGCGATTCAGAGCGAGGTTGACCTTGATGATGTTCAGAAACTTATGGATGATACTGCTGATGCTAAAGTTTATCAAGATGTGAGTCCAATCTTTGTTTATGTGTATAATAATCAATCATGTTGTCAAGATTCTGTCTCTTTAACATGTTTTGGGGATGTTAGGAGTTGAATGCTATTTTGGGGGAGAAACTATCAGCAGAGGATGAAGAAGAGATTTTAGCAGAATTTGACAACTTAGAAAGTCAGGTATGTTTCATTGGTCAAACTGGGAAACAAACTTGTTTATTATCTATCATCTTTAATATAGGGAGAGAGACTAATAATGGTGGTGTATGTTTTGTTTAAAGCTTGCTGTTGATGAGATGCCTGATGTGCCTACAAAGGAGCCTGACGAATCTGAGAAGCTGGATCTTCCGGATGTGCCAACCAGAAGACCTGTCGTTTCCAATGCGGAGATCACACCAGCTGAATCAGCCACAAAGAGAAAAGGTTTTTGCTTTCTTCTTTTTTCTTGTGATGGTCTTTTTAGATTTTCAAGAACTAAACTCAGACATGTTTTGTTTGCTCTGTTGCTTTCACTCTGCAGTTCTTGAAGAACCTTTGCCAGCTTGAGATAGAAGAAACTGATCAACAAAACCATTTTATCACTGTTTTGGCACTTTTCTTTTAATGGTCCTGAAGTTTTACTGTACAATCTTGAAGTCTCTTGTCATTTGTAAAGGAACAAAGTATATGTGGAATCAAACTCTATTCCTCTAAAGTCCACAATAAGTGCTCTTTGGTTCAATGATATTACGGGTGACAGGATTCATGTTCCAGTAATGAAAGAAAATCCAGATTATGACAAGAGTGTTACAACATCTTTTATTCTTTATTATTTCATCAAACATTTTCTGTTCACGACAAGTCAAAGATTTCAAACCAATTTGGCCCCATTTGAATCTCAAACTGCCTTCCATTCACTTTGTTTGGGACTGTTTGGCTTCAATATCCTTGAGTCTGAGAGTGACTGCTCTCTTGTGTGCATCTAGACCTTCAATTTCAGCCATAGTCGCCACATAGGGACCAAGGTTTCGCAGACCTTCCTCTGTCAAGGATTGTACAGTCATGAACTTTAGGAAGGAGTCGAGGGAGACGCCACTGTACATCCTCGCATACCCATACGTTGGAAGAACGTGGTTTGTGCCGCTAGCGTAATCACCAACACTCTCTGGAGTCCACGGCCCTATGAAAACCGAACCTGCATTCTCGATCAGCCCCTCCCATTTCTCAGCGTCTTTGACATTGATGATCAAGTGTTCAGGTGCATACAGGTTTGAGAAAGTTATTGCCTGGAGGATTAACAAACAAATGGTTATCTTACTGTGAAGTTGTTTTGAGTGTGACAGTAAAGGAGAGGGTGGTACCTCAATCATATCTCGAGCAAATACAGTGAAGCTGTGACTAAGAGCTTTTGAAGCAAACTCTCCTCTAGGAAGGTTATTGCATTGTTTGGCGATTTCTTCTTCGATGGCTTTGAGATTTACACCATCGCCTACAACAACAAGAACAACTTGACTATCTGGACCATGCTCAGCCTGCAGATAAAAAAAGAATTTTATAAGTTAGCAGAGTCGATAAGAAAAGAAGGAATAAGGCAGACACAAACTGATCATGATGTAGTAAACTGAAAATGTGCTATATTGTAGCTTTCATTTTATGGCCAGTAAGAGAAGAACACCTGAGAAAGCAAGTCGGCTGCAATGTAAACTGGATTAGCATGTTCATCAGCGATTACTAGAACTTCTGAAGGGCCAGCAGGCATATCAATCGAAACCATTGCCTCGCTATTCTGAAGTAAGAGAAAAACAAACACAAGATGAAAGGAAAAAACATCGATCCAATAGGATTCATAATCTCCTTCGTTTCTGCTTTCCAGAATTGATAAAGAGTAGTCTAAACAAGTTATAGGAACGATGTATGTACCTGAAGAATCATCTTAGCAGCCGTAACATACTGATTCCCAGGACCAAAAATCTTCTCAACCTGCCAATAATAACCAAAGCATATTTCATGTGTGGTGGTTGGTTAGGAAAATGTCATGTGTAAGCTAATGAGGCATATTATAAACCCAATTTATACCTTAGGACAAGAATCTGTCCCCCAGGCCATGGCAGCTATAGCCTGCAAACGCAAAATAGAAAATCTAAAATCTGACAAATAAAGGAGAATCGCCATCATAAAATAAAATGTAAAATGTGAAAAGGCTAACACAAACACACCTGTGCTCCACCAGCTTTAAGTATGTGAGTAACACCAGCCCTCTTAGCACAATACAGCACTTCCTGCATCAACAAGAAAACATACTTATCAGTTCAGTAGCAAGATATTTATATTAACGTGAGTTATACTGAATATTATCCCCAGAAAAAAAAAACAGCTAAATTACTACCTTGCATATGCTTCCTTCCTTAGTTGGTGGAGTTGCGAGGACAACTGTTTTACATCCAGCAATCTGAGCAGGCTGAGAGTGGAGACCAAGTTATTAAAGAACTACAAGAAGAATGAGACCAAAATCAAAGGTAATAAACAGGAGAGAGAGCTTACAATAGCAAGCATCAAAGCAGTAGATGGCAAAACAGCTGTTCCACCAGGCACATAAAGACCTACAGAACCAATAGATCTCGACACCCTTTTACATCTCACACCCTAAAGAAACCAAAACAAATGAAGTTCAGTGTGAACAGACTACTCTAAGTTAGCTAATAAGTTTTTTTTTTTTACCAAAATCGACTTACTTTCATATTCTCAACGCTCTTCTCAGTTGACTTTTGCGCCAAGTGAAACGCATAAATGTTGTCATACGCAACATCAAACGCCTCTTTAACAGTGGAGTCAAGCTGATTACAAAAACAGCAAAAAAAAAGAAAACTCACTTACTACTACTACACATCAAAGCAGCATTATTCAAATATTTGTATAAATAAACGGTTTGGTTTTAAATCTAACTACCTCAGGGATATCAAGTTCAGACACATCTTCCACCACTTTACTAAGCTGGACTTTATCAAACCTCTCAGTGTACCTGAAACAGAAGCAGGGCCGGTGTTGGACCAAGCCGGATGAAACATTGGCTTTGCCCCAAATTTTTTGAAAGAAATTACATGTACATAGGCCTTTTAGGCCCCCAATTCGTAAAAAAAAAACTTTAGGTGAAATCGTTAAAAAAACGCCTTAGACCCTCTAATTCTCAGAGCCGGCCCTGAATCAGAAGCAATCTAAGATGGTTTCTCTCTAAAAAAATAAAGAATCAATCGGTCTTTTACTCTTTGACAGCAGTATCTCCTTTGCTACGAACCGCGTCGATGATTGGATTAACCTGAATAGTAATAATAAGCTCACAGATCAAACACATAATACAAAGTGTAGATAAGAAGAGAGAAAGGAGAAAGGAGAAAGCTTTTTTACAGTGGTGAAGATGGAAGAGAAGTCAATGCGAGGACGTGACTTCAAGTTCTCAACTTGGGAGAAACTAAGTTCAGATAATCTGTAAGACTTCATCGAACACTTAACGAATCCTGTAAAAAAAGAATCAATTTTTGCAAAGACAGAACCTTTGAATCAATAGAATCTGAGAGAAACTCACATCAATTTTTCTGGTGAGATTATTACCTTTCTTAGAAGCAGTGTGAGTGTAAAACGAGGAGGTGAGGGAGAGACGAGATAGATCGAATGACATTCTCACCTGTTTTGCTCAAATAGAGTGTGTGTGTGTGTGTGTTCGCCGGCGAATAGGGGAAAGGAGATGGTTGACTTGTTAGTTACACGTGGCGTATTCTCTTTCTCTCTCTCTACTACTTGGATCAAAGAAAGGTTTCTTATGGGCTTTACAAATGGATACAAGTCTTTATGGGCCAAAAAACGGTAAAGCCTAAAAGTATTGTTTGTTATGAGAGATAAATAAGTTACTAAGGTTTAGTCTCTTTGATTGAATGATTGATTGCAAATCTAGAGGTTATATATCATATGGGATTTGAGTGAGTTGAGAGAAAGAGTGATGATCAGAGATGCATGGAAGAACACTATCTATATATATAAAAGAATGTTTGCCTCACTCAAGCCAGTCCACGTCACTAAATACCTTCCCATCGAGATGACACGTGTTTTGGTGTACTGGGCCTCGCCTTTGATTTTACTTGGCCCAGAGATTAAACGAGACGGCCTGTTTCCCTTATCTTCGACAACCTACGGCCTAGGAATCCTTGCATTTCAGTTTTAACGTACGATGTATTGTACCATTGCGTTGGTTTCCAATTTACTTATTCCAAAAAATAAAACAATTTTCTCGAACAGAAGAGGCTCACTATATCAAAAAACATCGATCCCCTCTCCCAGATTAAAAAGATAAACAATACCTATCTCAACGACAAGATTCGAATGCAAATGTTAGAATTAAAGAATTACAAACAAACAACGGTAACGAAGAGTACAAAAATAAAACATGGTACGTATCGGTTTAAAATAAAAATACAACAATCATGTAGAGAGCTTTATTTTACATGTACAAGCGTGGGAGTTATTACTCATTTCCAAACTCAAGAATAGAAAATTATAAAATTACGCAAAAAAACGTATTCATGGAAAACGAATATCAAGCATTAAACAACACTAATCGACTACCCACTCACCACCGCCACGCAGGGTACACAACACCGACTATGAAATCGAATTATGAAAATAGTAAATTACGGAAAAACAAAATGTCTAAATAAATGTTATTATTATCAGATCTGTAATTAACCCAAAAAAAGTAACCGCCTATTTCATCAACTCCTACTAGCCTAGGCTACACCCTATATAAACAAGCTATTGAGAGACGAGGATTCACATCCACCACACAAATAACATAAAAAGAAAAATAAAAATGTCGATTCAGAGATGTCCTCTGTCTAGACTCGAAAGTCTTCCACAAGAACTTCAGACTGAGATCATCTCTCGAGTCGCTAAAAGCTCCGGGAGAGATGTCCGCAACCTCATGGAAGCGAGTCCAAGAATGGCAAAAGCGGCAGCTCAACCACCGGTCTACAAAAACATCAACCTCCGCCCACTCACCGTGCATCCCCGCGCTTCCTTGACAAAGTACAAGGATCTCATGGACGTTACACTCGCCGCCGGCAACATTGAAGCTCACTATGTCCGTGGAATCCAGGAGTACTTCCACAAAAACAATGCAACAGTGGGTCTCGCCCATCTCAAAATCGCAGCTCAAGGTTCGTATGACAACGGGATCTACCTTTACGGAATGATTATGTTATGCAGGGGACAAGAAGAAGAAGGAAAAGCTATGGTGGAGAAGCTGGGTTGGAGACAAAACCCGATCCGTGTGGACGAAAGCTAGAAAAACATCAAGCGCTCTCTTCATGGAATTACTGTTACAACCCTAGACAGTTACCTTACTGCATACGAAACATCAATGGAAACAATCAACTGCCACCTAGAAGACATCAATGCTCGCTGTGCTACATGCTTCTACTTCAAGCAGATTACCAAATTCGTTTTCATTATCTAATAATGTTATGCTCTTTCATGTTTTCTTTCGCTAATGCACTCCATCATTCTAAATAAAATTAGTACGTTTGAGGAACACGGATTACAGAACAAAACCACATGCAGACTTATGTTACTCATACAAAAGTCAATCAATGATGCCAAATTAAAAAGTCAAAAACTAAACAATAATTAACACACAAAAAAAGGGCTAAACTTGCACAAAAGATAAAATAAAATATGAAAGTCTAAATATACCGGAAAGAATAAACAACCAAGACACAAAAACCCACACAGTCGGAATATAACATAATAAGCCGATGATATATATTATAGACATAACATAATAATCCCCAATAATGAACAACCGGCGCATAACCATACGATGAAGAGAATACATATTTCTTTTCTTTCCGTTAAACTGCACTCCCCATACATTTTTAAAAAATACTATACACAATATTATTTTTTTTGTTTTTTGATAGTGCTTAGGATAATAATGCTTAGAGTAATCCAAATAATATGGCCTAGCTAACTCTTAAAAATGAAAAGCAGAGTAATGTAATGATATAACTTTTTACCTTTCCCGTCAAAGTTATTTCTTTTAAAAATCCATTGACATATTTTGAGATGACCACATATTACTCATGGGAACAGTAGCCAATATATTATTTTCCACATCTGTGAATTGATGCGGATAGCTAAACGTGTGATAGAAAATCGCGTGTTTCCTTCCTTCGCTTGCAGTTGTATACATCGAACACATGGCTAGAACAACTCGATAAGTTGGATTTATAGTTTCCTAGATAAAATGATTCAATGATACAGCCCCCATAATGCTTTCCTTTAAAATATACATGCACTAATCATATACATTATCAACATAAACAAGATAATAATATACTATTTAAAATAATAACANGCGTGTTTCCTTCCTTCGCTTGCAGTTGTATACATCGAACACATGGCTAGAACAACTCGATAAGTTGGATTTATAGTTTCCTAGATAAAATGATTCAATGATACAGCCCCCATAATGCTTTCCTTTAAAATATACATGCACTAATCATATACATTATCAACATAAACAAGATAATAATATACTATTTAAAATAATAACAAAATATATTACACAGAAAACATGTGGAAAAATATAACCATCAATACATATATTTAAAACATCTTGACACAAATAAAAAATAATAATAATTCACAAATCCGGCGCGTAGCGCCGGGCCGCCCCTAGTGAGTAATATAATAAAGTTTAATGTTGTTATTGGTAATATATTGAAGCTGCATGAGTAGAACTATGAGTAATATGTTGAATTTTTTAATGTTATTATAGGTAGTAATATTTTGAAGTTTTGATGTTATTATAGGTAATATACTAAATCTCCAAGAGTGAAAATATGAGTAGTATATTGAATTTTAATGTTGGCATAGGTAATATATTATATATTGAAGCTGCATGAGTAAAACTATGAGTAATATGTTGAAATTTTTAATGTTATTATAGGTAGTAATATCTTGAAGTTTTTATGTTATTATAGGTAATAAATTAAATCTCCAAGAGTGATAATATGAGTAGTATATTGAATTTTAATGTATCATAGGTAATATATTTAAGCTGCATGAGTAAAACTATGAGTTTAATGCAAAATAAACTACACTATACTAAAAGAAACATGTCTCGAATAAGAAGTTAGTATCTGCAGTTCATAGATATCAAGGTGTTGTTGTGATGTTGTTAGGTTTTTGTTTTTTTAGTATTAATTTGTGAATAAATCTATGTCTCCTTTTATAATTTTATGCACTGTTTTTGTAATCCCTTGTGTTAGTGTAGGCTCAAATGGATCTATAGCGAAATGAGTTAAATAGTTTTACTAAACTAGACTTTGACGACCCCTTTGAAGGATTAGATGTTGATACTGATGAGATTAACATGAATCGACCACTTACCTCTTCCAACGGCTATTGATGATTGGTTTACGGCTGGTGTAAATCCTAAAGTACTGGACGAAATTGCAGGCCCCGAACTAGCCCCACCACCTTTTACTAACGAGTCGGCCTTACCACCACCACCTCCTGCTAACAAACCAGACTCACCACCACCACTTAATGCCTTTGCAAAGCTTATCCAAGCCTATGTACATACCAATGATGCTTCAACTCTCATCACCAAAGGGGCTATAGACGGTTCGATTAAACTGAACAAAGATTCAGTCTACCATCTAGAATCTTGTCAAGCGCCAATATCTACAACAAAAGAAGCTCTACAAGTGGCGACATCCCATCTTTTGCAAGCTACACTCGTCAAGCAAGGTCAATCACTAAGCCATATTATACCTTTAGAGGATGACTGATCGTGATATTTGGTTGAAGCGCTGTCTAGTCTAGTTATAACACGTCATACCTAGTGGCGACATCCCATCTTTTGCAAGCTACACTCGTCAAGCAAGGTCAATCACTAAGCCATATTATACCTTTAGAGGATGACTGATCGTGATATTTGGTTGAAGCGCTGTCTAGTCTAGTTATAACACGTCATAGCTAGAGAATTTGTGTTTGTTTGATGAGTTGTTTCAGCTCACTTGTTTTTGGTTTTGACTTTGGTTAACTATAAAAATATAATCCAATCTCTCTTTTTTTTTATTAATTCCACACTAGGTTTTCTGGTGTTTTTTTAGATCAATCGTTTTGCGTATCCATATTGAACATCAGAACATCCTAAAGCATAATACCGCAAGAGCAAAGACTTACAAAAAATAGTAACTATTATCCTGAATTTTTTTTTTTGAACAAACCTCCATTAATCATGAAACAACTCATACAAAGTTAGAGAGGCTATGCAGAGCGGTCTTAGCCAAGGCATCTGCAATAGCATTGTTTCCCCTAGGAACATAACAAAAAGAGACAGATAGAAAAGCAGAACACAAGTGAAAAATATCGAACATGATACTTTGAGCTTCTACTACTCTTGTGCGTGCTTTGATGGCCAAAATAAGGGACTTGGAGTCCGATCGGATGATCAGATTACACAAACCCAGAGCCCGAGCTGCCTTCAGGCCAGCTTTCACCGCAATAGCTTCTGCCACTAAAGCAGAGCCGACATTGCTGCGGTGTGATGAAACTTGATGGAGAAGCTTGTCATTGTTATCTTTAAAGATGCAACCAAATCCTGCGCCACTGGTGCCAGCATTCCACGCTGCATCTACAAAGCATTGAACCTCCAGAGAATTATGAGTTTCCGGAGCACGAGCACAAGAGCCAAGGTTTGATACCTCCTTATCTCTCTGCGCTGATTGCCAAACTCTGGCTTCTCTAATTGCTGTCACAACTAACTCCTGAACAGAGCTGTCTCTATTCTCAAAAACAAACTTATTTCTGCCAACCCACAGGTACCAGAAAATCCACGGGTATAGAGCTGCTTCGTTGAGTCCCGTTGGTGGTAGGTTAAGGAATTGTCTACAAGCATATAGGAGAGAATCCGCAGAAGTGACTAAACTTGGGTCAGGTTTGTATAAAGCAGGAACTAGGTCCCAAACGCGCACTGCAAAAGGGCATTGCAGCAGAACATGACGTTCCGTTTCCACAAGTCCACATCTTTTACACCTCCCTTCAACTTCTATACCCCTTCTCAATAGATTGGCCCCCACAGGGAGAGCATTGCTTTTTACTTTCCATAAGAAGTGTTTTAGTTTTGGGGAGGTGTTGACCTTCCAGATATAGGGATACCAGTTGGTGTCTTCTTGCTCCTGAGCTTGATTAACTTTGCATAAAGCGTAGCCTGATTTAGTTGAGTAGTTTCCAGACCTCTCAGGTAACCAAACCAACTCATCTTCCATTTGATATTCACTAGGAATCAGCTTCTTGATCAGCTCCTCATACTGAGGCAAGTGCAATCTTATCGCCTCCAAATTCCAGTCCATAGAGTTAGCATCAATGAGATCAGCGACTCGGAGATCTTTATTCGCTTCAGTCGGGGGGCCTATAGGACAGAGTGGGCGCGATAGAGAGAGCCAAGGATCAGACCAGATTTTAATATTTTTCCCCGTACCTACTATCCAACCGAGACCTTGTAAGAGAACTCCCTTCCCTGCCATAACTCCTCTCCAGCCATGTGAAGCAGAGTTAGGCGCTGAGACAGTTAGGAAATGATCAGTGTGACAATATTTACCAAGCAGAGTTTGGGACAGTAGGGAGGTTGGGAACTTTAGGATTCTCCATGCAAGCTTGGCGAGTAAGGCATCGTTGAATTTTTCAAGTTCTCTAAAGCCTAAGCCTCCTGCCCTTTTCGGTAGGGTGAGTTTGTTCCACGCAACCCATGACATTTTCCTAGCATCCGGTTTGTCATCCCACCAAAATCGAGTAAGGATCGATTGTATTTGCTTGCAAAGTGAAGCTGGAAGCTTGAAGCACGACATGGTATAAGAGGGCATGGCCGATAAAATAGATTTCAGCAAAACAAGCTTCCCAGCTCCATTAAGGTATCGTGACGTCCAGCTGTGGGATTTTTGCCTAATACGGTCCACAATACTCGCAAAAACATCCCTTTTCTTTCGGGTAAAGTGCTCCGGTAAACCCAGATACTTTCCATTACCTCCTTCTCCCAAAATATTTAGAGTAGCTTTGACTCTTCTCCGGACTTCGATGGGTTTTTTGGACGAAAAGGTGACTGCTGATTTCTGGACATTAATGCTCTGTCCCGATGCTACTTCATATCTGTCCCAAATGTTTTTCAGCCCTTGACATGAAGCTGGATCACTCTTGCAGAAAAACATGGTATCGTCGGCGAAGAGGAGATGGTTTAGCGAGGGTGAGTTGCGCGCCACCTTGATACCCTGTAGCAAACCCTGATCCTGCGCTTTGACACAGAGCCCTGACAAAACCTCTGAGCAAAGAATAAAGAGATATGGAGAAAGCGGATCTCCTTGACGTATTCCCCGGGATGGTCGGACACAGCCTTTTGCACTACCATTAATGAGGTACGAGTATGAAACAGAGCCAACACATTCCATAATCCAGTGAACCCATGTTGGGTGGAAACCAAAACGTAGCATCACATCTCTCAGGAAGCTCCATTCCAACCTATCGTATGCCTTACTCATATCCGTTTTGACGGCCATTGAGCAGTATTTCTTTGCTGATGAGGTGCGGAGATAGTGAAGGATCTCGTGGGTTATCAAAACATTATCCGAGATGGAGCGATCTGCTACAAACGCCGATTGATGGGGGGAGATAAGGGAGGGGAGGATCGGTTTCAGTCGCTTACACAATATCTTTGCGATGATTTTGTAATGCGTGGAACAAAGTGCAATGGGTCTGTAGTCCATAACCGTCTTTGGACTTTTAATCTTGGGAATTAAGCGTACATGCGTCTCGTTGAAACGCCTTTGGAGTTGTCCCGAAACAAAGAATTCCCTGATCTCACGGCAAACTTCCTCTCCAATTATGTCCCAAAAGCCTTGATAGAAATTAGCCGAGAATCCGTCTGGTCCCGGAGCTTTGTCTCCATGGATAGCAAAAACAGCAGCTTTGATTTCGACCTCATCCGGAATACTTGTGAGAGTCACGTTCATTGCCTCCGAGATGCAGGGTGAAATAGCCTCCTCCACAATTTGAGAGCTACCATCAGAGACTGATGTAAACAAGGAATTGTAGTAGTCGGTAATAGTGGTGGCAATTTGATCTTCATCAAACACTGCAGTACCATCTTGTTGTTCCAGGACCGAGAATTTATTTGCAGCCTTTCTACCTCTTGTTATGGCATGGAAATAGCTGGAGTTTCTATCTCCATGTTGAAGCCATAAAATTCTGCTCCTTTGTCTCCAATACTTTTCTTCCTCTTCATAGGCCTTGTCTAATTCAGTGGTGAGCATTCCAATAAGATCGGTGTCAGGAGAGTTGCTGGAGAGAGCTTCCTCTAACTCACGCTGAGTACTTTGGATCAAATCCCTGCAGTTGCAGTTCATCTCCTTAGACCATTTGATGATCGCAAGTCGCACTCTGCAGAGACGGGATAATACTGAATCTTGAGCACAGAAATTCCAATTTTCTTGGACTAGCTCCTTAACTTCAGGTTTTGCAGTCAAGCGTCGGTCGTATCGGAAAAGGTTCCTGTGTTTCTTTTGCTTGTCATCTAAGTAAGTCATTAAAGGCCTATGGTCAGATCCCTCAAAGCTGAGGTACTCACAGTAAGAAGCCGGGAACGTTTCAGACCATCGACAGTTCACCATAGCTCTGTCCAAACGTGACTGGATGAAATGATTATCCTGAATATTAGAGAAAAAGCATTACAAAAAAAAAGAGATCAAATAAGATTCAACAATAACCGGCCGTTTCATATTAAGAATGATCTGGTCTCACTGTTTTGTCTGTTTGTACAATGAGTACTACTCGTTGCACATCTGTGTAATGAACCCGATCAAGACCAGTATGGCCATGCTATTGAGATTATCTGTACCTTTTTCTTGATGAGAAAGGCTTCTTCAGAGCAGCTGAAAGGAAGTGATGCTCACTATGGGAGTTTTTTCGAAGTCTCATTGTCCAAGAAAGCACCAGAAATTATCTCTAAACACAACCGTTGCAAGAAAGGTGTAGTAAATCCTAAGGATTCCCAACAGTTTCTGTATGCAAGGAGCTTCAGCATCTTCACACGTTATTAACAAAACCTTGTATGAGACTCCTTGCAGCTTTCCAGATTGAGGGTAAGGCGAAAATGAGAAGATAAACGCACAAATCTGTTCTTCTTGAACATGTATCAAGAAGATATATGCAGAGAGAGAAATATATGCAGATAGTACTAACTACTAAACTAGCTATCCAAAAACATGATCCTATTCCAACTTAAAGAACCGAGATCAAAATAAAAATCATATAGTAGGTATGGACATGTAAGCAAAATCAATGGTGAAATGAAACTTGCATAAAACAATTAAGTATAAAATGGTAGTGACTTACACTGTTGGATTTGGTAGATCCAAGACGTGTTCTGCTTTTGGTTTAAGATTTTGGGGTCTGTAAGCATTCAGATAGATAGTATGAAAACATGAACAAAAAAATACTACAAAGAGATAAAAACGAATCCATTTTACCTCAAAAAATAATCTGTACTCCATTTCGGTAAGTGGCAATCCGAACACTGACTCAGCCTGATGATTGCAGATACATGTTAGTATTAGAAATGAAGGATGTAAGGACTTGTGGCTACCATGATATTTTTAAAAATCAAAATTGAATTATCAGATCACCGGTTTAATCACGGTCCGGATTAAATTTAAAAATACTGATTGAAATGAAAAAATATTTTCAACACATAAATTCTTTCAAATTACCAAAATATTTGTTAAGTTATTTATGAATTTTTTTCATCACAAAATATATGTGCTTGCAAACTTAAGACCAAATTTAAATTTGAATTTGACTTAATCTACAAAATAAAGGTTAAGGCCAAAAATTCTAGATACAAACACCTATGCTCTAAACTTTGGATAATTATTAAGTAATTAAACTCTAAACTTATTTTCTTAATACAAACATTTAACTTTGAATTTGATTTTGCACTTCGAACAAACGTACTAAATTAGTTTTTTCACTGCACGATTACATCTACATAATACACTGTTTGACACTATTTTTCTTTAAACATAAAATCGAACTGGACAAACTCAAAACTATATAAAACTAAATTATATAGAGTACATCAGAAAAAATAAAATCTGCGCATCTGCGTATCATTTATAGAAGAACACTCCGTGATTTACTCTTTTTATAAATCATACTTGTTATAAAATGATATTTACAATATAGAAATTACATATTATACTTCAAATATCATGAGTGGAGACTCGCTTGTTGGTCCGCAAAACCGCTTAGATATGCAGGACGGGCTTGGACATATATAGACACAAAATCGCAACCTGCGACGGGTTGGGTTGACTTCCTAGTGATATCCTCCTATATATTAAATGAGAAGTCACTTTAGTGATTTCTGGTGACGTATCA